TACTTCAGGCAGTTTTCTATGAGTCTGGCTAGTAGCGAAATTGTTTTCAACCACATAGCTCTAGAGAGATTGTATAGCGTGAGGCAACACAATGATCACATGGAAAATCTTAATCAATCAACTGCACATAGCACCCGTTCATAAACTGGGACAGACTGTACTCGCTGTACCTGCAGTCTTAGTGGGGGGGATTAAAAGAATGCGGTAATGTGATCAGATGAATGCATGAATGAGACAATACCATGTAGTTCTATAAGGAAGAAAATTGTGCTTTAGAAGATGTATTCTACAAAGTATCTGCATCTGCCCTGTCAAGCCCCCCCAAGAATAAGATATTTCAATAAAGTCTCCTTTCAATCTTCTAAATTCCAATGAGTACAAACCCAATCTATTCAACCCTCCTCATGAAAATCCCTCCATGCCCAGGATTAATCTAGTGAACGTTCTCTGCCTCCAATGCCAGTATATCTTCCCTTGAATAAGGAGACCAAAACTACTCACTGTATTCTAGGTGTGGTCTGGCTACTGCCTTGAATAGTTTTACCAAGACCTACCGGTTATGCTCTATTTCCTTTGAAATAAAGACCAACATTCCACTTGCCTATAATCTGCTGAATGATGATGCAAGCATTATTGTGATTTGTGCCCTTGACTCCCAAATTTCTCCATGCTTCAGCTTTCTGCAGTCATTCCTCATTAAGTTACATTCAGCTCTTCTGTTCTTCCTGCCGAAGATCATAACCTCTCATTTTCTCACATTATATTCCATTAGCTGTGTTTTTGCTCACTTACTTAACCTGTCTCTGTCACTCTGTGGATTCCTTGTGTCTTCCTTTTCTGTGTCATTGCCAAGTTTGCAGATAGTACATTCACTTCCATCACCATATAACATGCATTGTAAATGATTGTGGGCCCAGCACTGACCCCTGTTGCACTCCAGTAGTTACAGGTTAACGTCCTAAAAGTGCCTCCTTTAACCAACGCTATTCTAAAAGTTAGCCAATCCTTTATCCATGCTAAAATACTCCGCTCAATGCCATGTGCTCTTATTATGAGAACTCCCTTATTGAATGTCTTTTAGAAATCCAAATATATTTCATCTACCAGTTACCCTTTATATATTCTGCTTGTTACCACCTCAAATAATTCTAACAAAGTTCTGTAAAGAACTGGAATAATATGTCAGGCATGATTTCTGTTCATGAAGCAATGCTGTCTCTACTCGATCGTACATATTTCTAAAATGCTCTGCTATTACGTCCTTCATAATAGGCTGTAACATTTTCCCAATGACAGATGTTTACCATAGCTGTCCTCTTTATTTTTTCTGTTTCCCTCTGTTTTTGAATAAGGCTGCTACATTGGTAGTTTTTCAATCCTCTGAGGCTTTGCCAGAACCTGTGCATCCGCTATCTCTGTAACTACTCCCTTTAATATCCCAGGATGCAACCGAATAGGTCAAGGGGTCTTATTGGCCTTTAGCTCTATTATTTTCCCTTCCACTTTAAACCACCACAAAACATACATGCATGCACACCCAGCCACCCCAACATATACACCCTACTCACTCACCCATCAGCCTCACATACACCTCAGCAACATCCTTGACATTGGACATAACCAAACAATTTGATCATGGTGATTTGATTATCAAACCAAATCCTCAATCAGGGAGCCAAAAAGTGCTGTTTCAGCAGGAATAGGCCACCTTGCAAATAGGAGCTGTCATCCTCGATTATATCTACAGGAACAGAGAATACAGGAATTGGAGTCATGCTTCCATTACACAGTGCCCTGTTCTTTCAAACCTACAGTACTGTGAGCAGTTCTAATCACCGTACCTTCGGAAGAATTAGCCTTGGAGGGGAATGCAGTACAGATTCACCGAAATGGTAGCTGGGCTCCAGGAGTGCAAGAAGGGAGAAACTTGGGTTGTATTCCTTAGAATGACTTGATCAAAGTTTTCAAGACATCAAGAGAAACAAATAGGGTTGATAGAGAAAAGTCATTTCTCCTGAACTAGGAGTACAAGTCTGATTCTAATTTTTAGACTGACCTACTTTTTATTGTAATGCTAAATCACGGAGACAAATGAGAAGGCAGGCCTTAAGGACTACTGAATCCATCCAGAGAGGGAACCACATTCTCGCCTTCTAGTGAACCATGCTAACCAGCTGTCTTCGAATTTTAGGAGTGAAATTGGGGAAAATCTTCTACATGCATAGGATGGTAGAAGTTTTTAATATTTTTCCACAAATGACAATTGGTCTTAAGTCAGTTGTGAGTTTTAAAACTGCGTTTGGTGGATTTTTGCTAATTAAAGGTATCAAAGGATATAGGGCAAAGGCTCATATGTGGAGTTAGCTCGCAGATCATCCATAAGAATGGAAGCGCAAATTCGGGGCTGAGCGGCCTCCTATTCTTATGCTCCTAAGCTGCCTGACCCCTAAAGTTTAGCTACATCCTTGGAACTTGTTTCTGTGCACTGTGTGTGACTTTCCCTGGAACCAGCATCTGAGAAAGCCAAAAAAAGTTTAGTGTCTGGCATTGAGTGGCACGGTGGCTCAGTTGTTAACAGTGCTGCTTCACAGCTCCTGGGACCTGGGTTCATTTCCAGTCTCAGGTGACTGTCTATATGGAGCTTGCACATCCTCTGTATGTCTATGTCAGTTTCCTCTGGGTGCTATGGTTTCCTTCCACAATCCAAAGATGTGCAGGCCAAAAGGATTGACCACACTGAAATCATAGTGTTCAGGGATATGGTAGGGGGGCTGGGTCTGTGTGTGATGCTCTTCCAGGGCTAGGTGCAGACTTTGTTTGCTGAATGGCCTCCTTCTGCACTGGAGGGGTTCTATAATTCTATTGCTCTCACTACGTTGCAACTCATATCGTCTGTCAGGAGTCTTTTTGACCTGAGTTCGAAGTACACTCCAGACTGTGAGCGTGTATGAAAGAAATGCATGCCTTGTTGCAAACACTGTCCAAATGAGATTTTGACCAAAGGCCTGTTTGATCTGTTCCAGGTATTCAAGATGATAAAGCTCAATGGCATCATTCAAAGGTGCTCATTAGTTGTCTCTGCATTCTGCCTTTAACACCAAAATCACACTTTCTTTTTATTTGAGGAATCTGGTATGCAAAATTCCTTCCTGTTAGACATTAAACTGTCATAAGGCCTTAAGAAATAATCACCAGGCATTTGACCCTTCGAGCCTGCTGTGTTTTCATTAAGATCATAGTTGATCTGTTTGTGACTGTAACTCCGCTTTCCAGTCTACTTCTTTTAACCCTCAACTCCCTTGTAGATGAAAAATCTGTGCAAGTGCAATATCGTGACAGTGCAGAGTATTGCATCGTATTTGAAGTGCCTTGAATATGCTGGACAGAGGAGTTGGGAAATTGAATAATTTATGTTCTTTTACATACATTCAGAACCAGATCAAATTTGACTTCTAAGGGCTTCGTGCTCTGTTCGTGAGTGTATCTGATACCACCACAGTAGATTGTCATGTTCATGTTCTGATGTGACTTCACAACCCGAAACATTAACTGTCTTTCTCCACAGGAGTTGCTTGACCTGCTGAGCATTTCCAATACCACCTATTTTATCCAAGATTTCTAGCATCTGCAGTATTTTGCTTGTAGCTTGTCATGTTGCTACTTTATGCCAAGACCATCCTTCTTGTTGTGGTGGGCTGTGTCTAGGAGAGTCAGAATCTTCACTCGCCCATCCAATGTTCACATGGCCAAAAATGACCTCTGTTAGAACTCGGTGTAAACCATACTATTTTCAGAAGAAAGAAAGCATGTTTTTCACATTATACATATCAGGACAATTGCACTAGAATGCCAAATTTCAAAGAGAGCAACAACTTACACCACGTAAGAGAGGGCCCTGATTGGTTGGTAACAGCTCTTCCAATCGGAGCTCACTTTCCTTGTAGCATAAATTGTCCTTCCCTTTGAGATTTGGAATTCTTGTGACTGTGTTCAATGAGTGCAAGATAAAAGTTTTGGAATGGCTTATTTGCAGGAATACTGCAGGTCTATGCCACCAAGCATCTACAATCTGCTTCAATAAACATTTCAGAGCCAATTGCCTCACATTGCAGAACTAATTCTTTATACAAGCACTGCTTTGAGCCTTAGGTTAATTGCATGCACAAGAGCTCCGAGGTGTTTTGCTCAGTAGACCCAAGTTTGATAACTGAGGGTTTCGGTGACTACCAAACTGCTTTCAGACAGGGGCAGTGTCACAAATTTGCTGCAATTACTGTGGATTGGGAAGAGGAACACTGCCTGTTGAGTTCTGCTGGAAGGCACGTGTAGAATAAGAACATGATTGGATTGGTTATGATGTTGCACAATAATTAAACATTTTTCTCTCACTTACAGTCAAAATTCACATACAAATAACAAACTCTAGGGTTAACTAACAGAAATGGGCTATGATCCGACAACTTTTCCTAAAATGAATAGTCTGTATAAAGAAAGGGAGTGGTCGCGTTGTGGCACAGGGTCTGCTTAGATTGGGGGGAAAATATGGAAGTGACATTGAACTGTTGTGTTTTGGAGTACAGAACCTGATTAGGATTGTGGGTATAGATTCAATAGTAACCTTCAAAAGGGAATTGGATACGTACTTGGAGAAACAATTTGCAGGAATGTGGGGAAAGAGTAAGGGAGCAGAACTAACTGGAATGATCTGTGAAAGAGTTGGCACAGACTTGATAGACAGAATTCTGTCCTTTGCCCTATGGTTCTGTGGAAGATTAATCCCAGCAGAGAAAATTAGTGATAATCAGAAATAAATGTGCCTTCAGTTAATGCTAGGCATTTGTGTGTATAACTGTGTTGTAGTTAGGTTGTGGATTTAAGCAATTCTTACTTCACACTTGCATGTATGCACTCGGGACATGGGTGGAGAAGGATGATTTAGTTTAACTGTTGAACTGGTTGCTGAGTTTTGTTGTGATTCAGAAATGTTTGCTGTCTTTCAGCCCAGAATGTGACAGTGGAGGAGATCATTGCTGCCTACAAGATGGCCTGCCAGAAGCTGAACTGCAAACCAATTAACAAACTGCTCAAACAGATCCAAGTAAGGTTGGACTTCCAGAGTAAACTCGCCCATGATACGAGTCCCGCCTTTATTAAACTGAAAATACATTAATGACAAATGATGTATATTCTATTGTAGGGATTCGGCCCACTGTATTTTATCTGTCATTTATTAGGCTCAATTCCAAATGAGGCACTTGGAGTCTATTCTCTTTGGGTTGGTTTAACTTGCATAATTTACTGATCTAGCCTGATCAAGTTTTCCAAATTTTGGCTAGCTGATCCCACAATAGTTCTGTGAACAAATTGACTATGAACAGTTGTGTAAGCTCCCAGGTTTGTACCAAATTTGCTGATCTCAGTGGGGGAAACAGGTTGAGGGAGGACAGAATTGAATTTAACTGTAATGCTCCATTGTCGAACAGTGAAGTTTTGTGAGATAGAGGGGTGTGGAAGCCAGTGGAATTGTAGCCCAAGGAAAAGAGGAGGTCAGGGAGAAAGCTGGTAACTGGAGAATTTACCCATTGATCGAATGGTTAGTCCTAAAGTGACCCATAGCAGTGAATACTCACTGCATAGAACGAAAACTTTATTGTGAATTTGTAATCCATTATGTAGGACGCAGACAAAAGAGAGTGTGTAACACTCACTCTACTTGGCTGTGGCATTGTGCTGGTTGACTAATACAGAGGCACCCTTCCATATCTATGGTTCTTCGCCAAGCTGTGAAATCCAAACCTTTAAAGAGATCCTTCTTGTTACTACGCTCAGGCTTTGGGTTTGACCAGTGAGCTAAATAGAATTTTTTTGGCATGATTTGGTTAAGTTTGGCAGGCTTTTACTACCTACCTAAAATGGCTGCTTCTCCATCTGTTGGCTGGTGAATGCATTGCGTTTTGAGGCAATGCAGATTTGCTGTTTTCTCCCTTTATCAGTTCTTAACAGAGCAGGCATTTGATTACTACTCACATGTTATCACTAACTACCTAAAATGTTGTTTACATGTGGTCACAAGTTTCTGGAGCCCTCTATTGACATAACAACTGTAAATATCAGTTTGTCCCAGCTCTAACCAAGCTGTGTACTTGTCAAGATTGTACTTAATATGGCTGGTTGCTCCCTGCCACAGCCAAGAGGTCTGGACTACATGTTTCAGTGCCCATCTTGTGCAAATTGCCCTTGTTCCAGTGAGTTGTCACCATTTTGACCCCTCCACATTCTCTGAAATTACTGACTTTGGCTGGGGTCTATCTCCACCAATGGCAACACCACCTTGTGACGTTTGTTCATTAAAGAAGTAGTTAGGAGAAATGTCTTTAATGCAAATGGTTATCGAAGCACAGAGTTCGATAGGCAGCGGCTAAGATAAAAGTCCTTCAAAGGACAGCTGGATAAATGTTTGTAGCATGGGTAGCTACAAGTATGTGAGTAAACAGCAGGGGTGTTGAATTAGTTTAGTAGCAAAACACAAGCACAGATGTGATGGGCTGAATGGCCTTCAGATGGATCCCCCAGCAGTTCAATTTGTAAATATAACCTGGTATTTATTAATGACCATACAGAGCAATAGTGTTTAATGACTGGACTGGACAGTTGCTCAACTAAGACTGTGCAAATATGAAGGCCTTACAGCCCACTTCCGCTCTCTAGGTCAGGACGGAAGAAAGAATCTGGATGGCTGCTCCTATTGATTGTTCAGTCATCCATGTGGAAAGTCTAAATGTATTTACAGGTAGTTCTCCTATAACATGATAGTTGCGTTCCTGTGTCACCTCATGCTATAGAAAATTACTACAGAAAGTTATGTTATAGGGAAATTGCCATAGAAAATCGCAGTACCTGTACAGCAAAATGTTTGCATTATACAAACATCATCCGCTATTCATCAATCACGTTACAGCCAATTTGTGTTAATGAAGCACGCATTATACCAGAACTACCCGTACACTGGGAAGGTAGGGCCAGGCTCAACTTTGCTGCTACGGTTGAGTAGACACAAGAATGTACATAGGTGCGGAAGTATTCAGCCCCTCAAAACTGCTTTGTCATTCAACAAGATAATGTCGGATCTGCTGCAGGTCCAATTCTTCTTTTGTCCCAGCTCGGCAGTTCCCCGATATTTAAAAAATCTGTCGACCTTCCCTTTAAGTGTTTTCCGTCATCTAGCGTCCATAACTCTGAGATAGAGAATTCCAGATATTCGCTGCCTTCTGGGAGAAGAAATTCCTTATGTTTAAATGGGTGTCCCCATTTTCTGCGTAGGCGCCCCCATTTCAAGATTCATTAGTGAAAACATCATCTCAACATCTGCCCTTTGAAGCCTCTTCAGAATCTTGTATGTTTCAATGAGATCACTCATTCTTCTAAACTGTAATGACTTTCTGAAGAAGGGTCCAGACCTGAAACGTCAGCTTTCTTGCTCCTCTGATGCTGCTTGGCCTGCTGTGTTCATCCAGCTCTACACCTTGTTATCTATGACTAAAAGCCTAACCTGATTAGGGTTCTTGATGAGTCAAGCCCTTCATCCCAGGAATCAGTCTCTGTTTTGAACAGCATTCAATGCCAGTATATCTTTTTCTAAATACAGGTACCAAAACTGTAAAAGAATTGTAGACTGCTGCAACTCACTGCACATTACACATAAAGGATCCACTAAAGCACAGCTGTGGCCTCCTGGAGACAGGAGGGCTGACAAGTGGCAAGTAACGTTCGCACTTTGCAAATGCTAGGCAATACCATCTCCAATAAGAGACAATCTAACCACCACCCCTTGACATTCAATGGTGTTACCATCACTGAATCCCCTACAATCAACGTCCTTTGGGTTACCATTGACCAGAAATACAACCGGACTCGCCAAATAAATGCAGTGGCTACAGGAGAAGGCCAGGCGCTTGGAATTCTGTGGCAAGTAACTCCCCTCATGACTCCTCAAAGCGTGTCCATCATCTACCAGGCAAAAGTCAGGAGTGTGATAGAATACTCTCCACTTGCCTGGGTGGGTGCAGCCCCGACAACACTCAAGAAACTCAACACTATCCAGGAGAAAGCAGCCCGCTTGATTGGTACTGCATCCACTCCCTCCACTACAGAAGCTCAGTAACAGCAGTGTGTACAAGATGTACTGCAGATGTTCCTCAGACAGCATCTTCCAAACCCAAGACCACTTCTGTCTAGAAGGACAAGGGCAGCAGATACTTGGGAACATCACAACCTGGACTGCAGTGGTTCAAGAAGGCAGTTCACCACCATCTTCTCAAGGGCAACTAGGGACAGGTAATAAATGCTGGCCCAGTTGGCAATGCCCACATCCCCCAAATTAATAAAAAAAAGAGCTGGAGAAGGCTATTCAACCTCTCAAGTCTGCTCCTCTATCCATCAAGAGCTGAATTTCTGGAATAAACATGTCTGAAGTGTTTTCAAAATTCTGGATGACAACTCTATCTGTAAGCTGCACCATCACAGATTTCTTTTTGATGTTTGCTCCTCAGTAAAATATTGAGGTTTTTCTTTCTCCCCGTTCCTTACCCTTTACCAGCAAAGTCTTGTCTGTTCCTGTCATCAGTTTCCGGTGGAATTTAGGAGCCACTTTGTAAAGGGGCACAGCTATTGTAGTTACTCTGACAGTGTGGTGTGACATTCTGCCTCTTGCTCCAGCGTCCTGCTGATGAGAGACTGTTGAATTCCAGTCCGCTGACATGACTGCTTATGCTACAACCAAAGCCCTGAGTTTCCATCGCTCATGTGTCAAATACTCCTTTGTTGACTGGTGATTTTCATACTGTTTCATTCCCTTGCCAGAACAATGGGATGATATTAACACTTGAGGACCGCAGATCTACAGCTGGTGCCTATCCCAGTTGTCCCAACAGGTGGGTGCCTGACTTGGGTGTTTCATTCAAGAAGCCATCTTTTATATGTTACGCCTTTCACAAGCTACAGCATTACAGGCAGGCAGCATAGCTGAGTGTATGGCCTTGGCCTCACCCTTGTTCACCACACTGATTTATTGCCCTCCACAGGGCATTGGTGAGTCCACATCTCTCACGCCACATCTGGCTTTGGCCACCTTATTTAAGGAGGATAAACTTCCCATGTCAATTCTTGGAATGAAGGGATTTGACTTATGAGGAATGGTTGACCAGTTTGGGCCTATACTTGTTGAGAAGACTGAGAAATGAGCTTATTGAAGTGTGCAAGGTTCTGATGTGTACTGAAATATTGGATGTTGAGAGCATGTTTCCTCTTGTGGACAAATTTAGAACTAAGGGCCACAGCCATTTAAGATAGAAGCAAAGAATTTCTTTAAGTGTCATTAATCTTTGTAATTTTCTTCCCTGGAAAACACAAGAATCTGGATCATTGAATATATTCAATGCAGATAGATCAAATCACAGAATCCCTACAGTGTGGAAGCAGGCCACTTGGCCCATTGAGTCCACACCAACCCTCCGAAGAGCATCCCAACCAGACCCATTCCCCTTACCCTATACCTATAACCCTGCACGTTGCCCTTGAGAAGGTGGTTATGAGCTACCTACTTGAATTGCTGCAGTCCAGGATGTTTGATGTGCAAGGGATTCTAACCGTATCAGTGGTAGAAGGAGTAAATGTTGAAAGTGGTGGATAGGGTGAAGATCAAGTGGACTGCTTTATCCTGGATGGTGTTGAACCCTTTGAGTGTTGTTGGAACTACACTCATCCAGGCAAGTGAAGAGTATTCTGTCACACTCCTGGCTTGATTCTTTCTTTTCCCAAAGATTTACTTGATTCATAAAATTTGTAAATGTACATTACAAGACATTTCAACGTGTAGGTTACAGAAAATGCAATAAAATTCAACTTGTCTCCATGCAGCAATTGTCCACTGTCAGCGTCCTCAATTCAATTGTAATACTCTTAATATTTACAATGTATTTTCCATGTCAGGCATACAGCCTGAGGGCAAAACATTTCTCGTGCACCACATACCTGACTTGTGCCTTGCTGATGGTGGGCCAGCTTTGGGGAGTTGAGAGATGAGTTACTCACCACAGAATTCTCAGCCTTTGACCTGCTCTTGTAGTCACAGTGTTTATACAGCTGAGTGATTGTGGGTCCGCCCAA